TTTATTTTGTTTTTACAGTTATTATATAATTACATTTCTCTCATCCCTTTCCTCCCTCTAAACCCCCTATATACCTATTCCCACTCTTTAAAATGCATGACCTCTTTTTCCACTGTTAATGCATATACATATATATATATATACATATATATGTAGGATATATATATATATGATAGGCTTTTATCTTCTTAAATTATAAGAATAAATTATTTTGATAGTCTGTGGTAAATAAATCTAATTAACTCAATTTAATCTACATGATTGACAGAAGTGGAAAGGGTTGTGGCCTCAAGAAGCTAAAGAATACTTTTGAAGGCTCTTAAGGAATGCTTTATGTACATACTGCTTTAGTATGTAAATTATGTTAAAATACTCCTTCACTGCTTCTTAAGACATGCTGTATTTTTTCGAGCTATTTTGCCTGTTATTTAAAATTCAAATTGGGAAGGCACATGCCATATCTGAAACAACGGCGCATGTCCAGGCATCATCTTTTCTGTTCTTATGCCTCTCCACAAAACTAGGAAAGAGTCTTTTGTGGGCACAGGAAGTCCTGGGGCTTCTCCATCACTGGGAGAAGAGATGGTAAGTGTGAGATAACTGGAGGTAGCCCTGGGAGCTTTCGAAGATCATGTTTTGTCTGACTCATGTTAGGAAATGAATTTGAAAAGAGTCTTCCTTCACATCTAAATGTAAATACTTTCTCTGTTCCTATGATTTTATGCTTTAAATGGAGAGCCAGACCCTTGAAAATTTAAACTATTACATAAATTCTTAGAAGTTAGCAAATTGAGTGGTACCCAGTCACATTAAATGGTCGATGAAATAAGAACAAAGTTACATTGTTTGCAAGAGCATGGATAAAACAACAGACAATCATATTAAACAAATTAAGCCAGTCTCCTAGAGACAAAATACTGCGTGTTTCCCCTCATTTGTGTTCCTAGATAAATGTCATGTCATAATACACAGATAATGAAATCATGTGTGTGTGTGTGACGTGAAGTAAGTGGAATTGCCTAGAAGAGCAAAGAGAACTAATGGGAGAGTCAAGAAAGGGCAGTGGTGTGCCTGGGCAGTGTTCACACAGAGTATACTGCATCCTTGTATGAGAACATCCTGAGAGGACATGGCAGCCTATAAAAACAAAGTACACTAGTAAAAATAAATAATACTTTTTTAAAAAATTGACTTATGTCATAATGCACAAAAGCAGCAGTAACACATATTAAAGCACTAATATGGTGTAGTACAGTTCCATGGCCTTCCAAAATAAAGGTTATGGGATGAGATCTCAAAGCAGTCTAGCATTCTCCTGATGGATCATGGTGGTGAACATGTTTTCAATAATTTACTGGCCATTTGCTGTTTTGTTTTTTTTTTTTTTCTTTTCTTCAGAACTGTCCCATTTATTCAATTAATTGACCCATTTATTGATATGAGGATTTGGTTTTCAGTATTTAATTTTTGGAGGTCTTTATAGATAGTAGATACTGATCTCCTGTGGTATGTAGTGCCCCTTCCCTCTACTGATGATTTTCTTTGCTGTGCAGAAGCTTTTTTAATTTTCTACAAATCTTTATGTCATCCCTTACAATCACACCATGTGCTGTTGGAGTACTACTTGGCAAAGTCTTACGTTTGCTGCATCTTGAAGTGTTTCTGTTTCTGTCCCTCATGCAGTTTCAGAGTTTGGGGCCTTTGATCCATTAGAATTTATTTTTGTGCTCTACTTTGAACCTTTTACATGTTTTCTCAGCCCCATTGATTGAAAAGGCTGTCTTTCCAACACCCCCACCCCCAATGCATATGTTTGACACTTTCATTTGCTTGCTCAGGTATCTGACTTCCTTTGACTTTGTGTGTGTGTGCATGCGTGTGTGCGCGCGCGCAAAAATGCATGCCAGGGAGATGTGTTCCTGGAGAGAATAGACACTTGAATCTTGCTTTTTAATTCAGTCAGCCAGTCTGCAGATTTTTATTAGTGAGTGGAGGTTATTTGAATTTAAGTTATGTTTGAGAAAGTTAGCCAATTTTTGTAAGTTTGAAAGTTCTTTTGCTAGCTGGCTGAATTGCCCTTTGTTCTTCCTTTCTACTGTACTGGTATTAGTGTGTTTCTAGTTCGCTATGTTGGGTTTAATAGGCTTTCTTTTTCTCCTTTACTCATATTCCTCTCATAACCCTGTTTTCTTTCTCTGCTCCCATAATCAGAACTTTCTTTTATTCCTACTTTGTTCCTTTAGTGTCTCACTGACATTACTCTCCGGGTCCTGAATGATTTCCTTGCTTTATTCAACTGCTTGTTTGAGGTCATTGGTCCTTTTTGTCAATTTTGAGATCTTAAGTGGGCTTTTTATCTATCTCAGCATCTTTGAAAGCAGCAACAGGTAAGGTGTTCTGGATTTTGCAGGATCCATGTTGCCAATAGCACTTTAGAAGTCTGCTCCTCCTCCCCTGCTGAGTAACCACATAGCTGGAGCTGTGCTCAGCAAGGCTTTCTTCTTGACACTTCTGTTTCCACTTGACAATGTCCTACTGCTGATCAGGCAGGTTTCTGATGTTCATCCACTTTTCTTCATGGAACTGGAGGCTTTCTTCTGTGCTCCTTCTGTTTCCCCAGGTCAGACAGAAGCAGGTTCTAACCTGTCATCTTACCTAGAAGTCCCCCAGAGCAGTCTGTTCACAGAACACAGGTCTTCTTATGATTTCTCTCTCAATTCCATTTGAGTTTTCCATTGTTTGCAAGACAGAGCCCAACCATAATTACATTTAGGAGCTGCTCACTGGGTGTGTGGTGAGGGCAGTGAGCAGCCTCTGTTTATTATATGTACCTTATCATCAGTCCACATGAAATGATGGGATTCTAGCTAAAACATCTCCATCTTTCCAGCTGTTCTGCCTTTGCTGCTATTCCCAATTGTTATGCCTACTAGAAAACCCCTATGATCCTTCATGGCCACACACTATTAAATTTCAGAGATATCATGGGACATTACACAACAAATGAAATTGTTCTTCCATTTCTTACCCCACACTATAAAGTCAAATGACTTGTTTCCATTTTATTCTCTAATACTAATCTGTGAGTCTTTTGAGTGCAACAGTACCCAACCCATAAATAAATATTCTGCAAATAAAGATTAATATTCCATGAACAGCATATCACAATGATAACTTTGGAATTTGGGTTTTTGAATCACAAGACAGTGTCTGATTATAGGTTGCCTCTAAAGCTCTAATAACACCTTATTTTTGTACTTGTATAATGTTTTATTTTAAGTAAACTCAAATAACTTAGTTTACTATTACTCTCTTTCACATTCACTAAATTAACTCTGGCAATTTTGTGAGTTTTAAATCAAAATTTTAAATATCAAAATAGTCTTGCTTAGCTGTCCATAGGTCTGTTTGAAAATTATTTTGTTCGGTGTCTCATGTTTTGTCACTAAAACACTGAGAAGATTCGAGCATGAAGTAATATTGCAGGTACCAAATATTTTCAGCGCTGCATACTTGAGGTTCTTTTGTAGTTCACCTTATTAAAAATGCAAAACCCTATCCTTATAACAGGCAAAAATTATACAAACATACACAATCAAATATCTTTAATATAAGTACAGAAAGAAAATATTCAGGAAAATTCAATTTTGTTTTGCTTGATTGATTTGCTTTAAATATGATCAAACACAACCATTGTAGTTTTAACCTCATGGTATGGAAATGCATCTTGACTATTCTTCATTTATGTTATTGTTCCTTATATTGGTACAATTAGTCTTATACCTGTACAATTAGCAATTGTTCTTTCTCCATACTTGAGTTTTCCTAAATATTTCTGTTTTGTTAGATTTGATGTTCACTTTCTTCTGGAGAGGATACACATACCCTTGTTCTATAGATAACAATGTGTGTGGTAGAACTTGAAAATTGCAAAGCACTATTCAGATGGAATGGTCAATGTCCACAAGTTTTTGTTTATTTTTTTTCAGCACTGAAAAGCATTCATAATTTTCATGATAGGAGTTATTCCACTGGGAATTTGTGGGTTTATAACAGCTGTCATCATTCAGAGTCTTCAGATGGTTAGTGTAATTTTTAGCGTGATCAGTAAAATCTATTGGTCCTGCTGCACAGTAATTTATAAATTTGGATTGCTATTTTAAAAAAGGAAAATAATCTGTCAAGATGAATGAGCTATGATGTTAATATTTCATATAAGAACCATTCATTTAAAAACTAGTAAACAAGCCATTGATGAATCAGAGAGACAGATTTAAGGCAGATTTTTTCTCTGAAATATTATGTAAGTATTGATAAATATCTAGAAACTATGGGTTTTTTTTTTTACTATGAAAATAACCAGCTTGGTCTCACATACTGCTCAAACACCCACTGTTAGATGTAGAGTGCCTCAAAGCTAGGCAAAGCCATGGTTCAGGATGTGCTACTGGTATTTGAATTCTTCCAAAAGAAAATTATTTCATGAGAATTCATTGAATTCATATAAACAAGATGAGTCTGCAGACTTAGGAAAAAAGATCATGCTTGAACTCAACCTCAAAGAAGAGTTCAGTCTCCCAGAAGCCCTTGAGCCATTCTCATGTGCACAGGCCAATGCCTCGCCCTGTACAAGCTAAACACATCCTGATGCTGGTTAGCTCCCTTACAGAGATCCTTCACATGTTCTACCTCCACCATCCCTACATTGTATTCAGTCTCCTCATTCGCAGAGAACATTGGCATCGGGATCATCTGTTGTCTTAGAGCATCTCTCTGATGGCCTTAGGGAGCCAGTTGGCTGCTACTGAATTAGAGGTGGGACATTTCATCTTGAAAACACTCCACCTTCTCTCTCCAGACTAATGGTGTCAGAGAAAGTTTCCTCCATTATTATACTTTAAAAGACTTATATGAATTCTTGTAACAATGCTGTTAGTATCCTCTGCCATTTTTTTTTCTTTCTGTCTAATTGACAGTTTCCTTGATTTCTTCACTGGCAGGTACTACAGTGCAACCATCCTGCAGATGTCTGGCGTGGAAGATGACAGACTTGCAATATGGCTGGCTTCAGTGACAGCTTTTACCAACTTCATTTTCACATTAGTGGGAGTCTGGCTCGTTGAGAAAGTGGGTCGCAGGAAGCTTACCTTTGGTAGCTTGGCAGGTAAGTTGACTGGATATAGAATCTTGCTTTAAAATACCTTGTAGTAGCGATAGTGACTCTTCCAAACGATAACAGAGAATGATTTCTAAGCCAAACAGTGCCAAACTAGAATGATAGAAAACAAATACATGAAAGGTAGGATCCTTCAACTAGCTCTGGGGTAAGTGGCTGTAGACAAGACTGTGACAAGGAAGGAGCTATAAGGACAAAATTGACTGAGGATACATTTATGTAAACAGTTGTAGTGCTGTTTGGAGTCTCAAAACTGAAGAAAGAGCATAGGGACAGTTTTCTCTGTCCTTTTTTTGAAAGCTTGTTATGTTCTCACTTTACAACATTGTGTTTTATATTTTAGAATAGTTCAGAAGCAATTATTTGGAATCTTCCTTCACAAAGCAAGGAAAGACTTTTTGAAATAGGCCTAAATTCTAGGGTAAAATCTGATTGGTCAAGTGTGTATTATACGATAGCAAGTTAAGAAAGAACAAAAATGTCTTTTGTGTTCAAAGTTGGCCATTTCACTGGTTGTTTCTCTGTAAAGGGCTCTGTTGTAGGTCAGAGTAGGATCCACCTTTATCGTCATTACATGGTCACCTCAGGTAATTTTTTCTCTTCTCATTAGTTGGCTGCATTCCCCATAACAACTTTATATCTAGAGTAAAATACATATTTTACACTCAAACATGAAGATTTTAGTGTAGCATTAACTAAATTCTGTTTTAAGCAAAATTACAACTAGAACAAAATTTCATCTCACAAAACTGCTTTAGCACTTAACTACAGTTTTTGGTGAGAAAATATATTGTTTCCAAACTCAGTTCCTTCCTTCCTTCCATCCTTGTTTTCTCCCTCCCTCCCTCCTTCCCTCCCATGAGCTGGGCACTCCCACTCTTGTTCTGATCTTGGCAATGGATGGCATGTGCCCAGGGGCAGGAGTTTAAATCTTAGCATGGAAGCAAAGGTAAAAGGTTGACCAGGGCTTAGGATGATACTTAGAAGCTCCCAGGCAAGTGAAGACAAGTGAGGGACAGAAGGAGGTTTTAAAGCAGACATTTATAAACCTGTTGAAGTAAGAGGTGTTTAGCATTGAGAAAAGATGGAAGAAATAGATAGTGGGTATGTTAGCCTTTTCTCTGTTGTTTGAGCGCTGCTGTTTCTTAACCAGATCTACCAGTTGTATAGTAGTTCACGTTTTTTATATATTTCATAGCATTACAAAAAAATTCTTTAAAATAAATAATAGAATTTAAAATTAAAAATGAATACTCTGTGTGTTTTTGCTGAGATCTATTTTAAAAAGACTAAATGAAGATGAAAGAGGCCATGTGCTCTGCCCAGAATGAAAGTTGAAAGTTGAGCAGCAGCAGGGGTCACCTCAGTTTAGCTGCTGCCATCATGTTCTCCTGTTGTGATCTCCCAAGGCTCTTCTGTTACTTAAGCCTTTAATGTTAGGTTTAGTTGAATCCTAAACTACTTGCCTATTATTTCAATAAAATATTTCATGCCATACATTCTCCCTAAGCTCCATACCATAAAAATACTGCACCATGTCCCAGTCAGTTGATCAGCTAACCCAATCTTTTCCTTCCTATTGCTTCTTTTATGTGCCCTCAAAATTCTGTGCCTGGAACAGAAATTGAAAGCTTAGTGTGTGCGCATGTGTATATGTGTGCATATGTACACGTGTGTACTCGCACATGCATGCACACACATTCAGATGCGACCAGGGACTTGTGCTAGGCAGATGCTGAGCTGCTGAGCTGCAACCCCTGCACATGGTTTCTTGAGAGGGTTTTGCATTCTAGCACAGGCTGGCATGGATCTGTGGTCCTTTTGCCTCTGCCCTCTGAGTACTAGAATTGCAGGAGCACCCTACCCCACCTGCAGAAATTTGGTCCCTTCAGTGATAGCAGTAATGATGAATACTGCTTCTTGAAGTGAAGAGCAGATCTTCAGTCCCGAATTTTAACAGGACAGGTGAATGGATGCATCTGGCATATCCTTCTGGGTATGCCATTCCCTTTTTAATAGGCAGTAGTTTCTTTTTCATTTGCTCAAGAAATAACCAGTCTGGAACTTATCTGATCAAATGCCTTTGAGGGGATTTCTTGGCTAAGACACGAACATTTAACATGGCATCTCTCTCCTTTTGTGCTTCTATTGTGTTAGTTACTTGACGATGAGGCTTCTGTTATTTTCTCTTTTTTTCCCTTTTAACTTCTGGAATAGTTTATTTTAGCTTATAGTTCCAAAGGTGGAGACCATAGTGGTGAGGGGGGCACCAGGCTGCTAGGGTGGGAAGAGGCTCATTTTCATTGACTGATTTTTTTTTTTTGAGAATTATAGGCAATATTACAATCTTAATTTTTTTGTTTATTTTGGCTGCTTATTGCTTCAGTCTTAGAAAATCATTACCAATTTGTTCTGGCTAAGAAATGGATTTACTTTGAATTTCACTTTCTTTGCATCTCAATGGGTGTGTGTTAGTGAATTCTTCTGACCATTAGTATACATAGCAAATCATTTTTTTTTTTTTTTATTCTGGGGAAGATAATCAAGGGGCTTCATCCAGAGCTGTGATATCAGTCTGTGTTATAATGATGCCATCAATATTCTCCAGTGAAAAGCTTATTATTTTTTTTTTTTGTAGGCACCACAGTAGCACTTATTATTCTTGCCTTGGGATTTCTGATCTCAGCCCAGGTTTCCCCACGGATCACTTTCAGACCAGTGGCTCCTTCGGGTCAAAATGTCACCTGCACAGGACACAGGTGAGATTTTACTATGTTCCCTCTTCATAATACAGTTATGGTAGTTTTTTTTCTTTTTTCTTTTAACATTTCTCAAACTTAGATGAATAGGAGATTCCTGGGTTTGCAGGCTTGTGTCTGAAGGGCTGTGAAAGGAAAGGAGGTCAGGAACCATTGGTAGAAAACAATACTCTTCAAAGGCAAGATGATAGGTTGCCATGGGAATACTGAACTCTGGGGGAATGCTGCTCTATGCTAGCAGACAGTTTTGGAGTAGAGCATATCAATGATATGTAATCATCAAAGGTATGGATGTAGTGACACTTGGTTCACAACTAAGAACCTTCCTGAGACCTTGACTCTGTGATTTCACTATAGATCACTCATCAAACAGACAGTACTTTCCCATCCTTTGTGTGCTAATTCCCAGCACTGAGTCACAGATACTCGTGGTGGACAAGGCATTTAATGTAGCCTAATTTAGACCTCTCTTCATTTAAGGAAGTAATCTACATACATCATGTCCTCTTCCCAGAGAATCCTGGAGGATTGCTTATTCTCTAGGCTTCCCCTGTAGACGTCCCATATGGGGTCCTTTGATAGAACACCGCTACTTGCAGACATTGCTTTTTCTAGCAACTTCAGGCTCTGTCTTTTTTTTTTTTTTTTAATTTTATATAACCAAGTCCATTTAAATGAAAACAAACATTTATAGACAATGTTTGGAAATTTGGGCGTCGTTCTTTCCAAACTACTTCCTGCTGGTAAGGTGCCCTGTCATGGGGGATTCGAAGAAGATTCAGAAATCCTGGCTGTAGTCTGTCAGGCTGCTTTGTCCAGCTGTTTTGAATGTAAGATGGCCTGGTACTCTGTTTCAGGTGGTCTGGCTTGATCAAACCACATTAGTCTGGAAGGAATCCACATCTTTTCATTTTCTGTGGAAACAAAAACAGGAATCCTTTTCCCTAGTAACTTGTCCTTGAACTTAAATTTTGGAGTCAAAGCATTTTTTTTATTTAATTTATTATTTTACATGTCGATCCCAGTTCCCTCTCCCTCCCTTCCTCTCTCCCTCTTTCCCTCCCTTTTACCCTCTTGGCCCTCCATGCACTCTAACCACCCTCCCCTTCCATCCCCCCACCCCAATTCCATATTTAGGGGAATGCCATCCAGTAGGAGTCATGTAGGTCTGACAGGTCATGTGAAGTAGGGACTAGGGCTTCTCTCCTGTCTCTAGATTAAGGCAGTTATCCCTCCATGGGGGATGTGTTTGCAAGGTCCTTTTGTGCACCAGGGCTCCACTGTCTGAGTTCCCTTAGACTGCTCAGTCCTTCTGGCTGAGACCCATATTCAGGGGGGCCTGAGTCAGTCCCATGCTGGCTTCCCAGCTATCAGTCTAGTGGCCGTTAGCCTCTCCTTGTTCAGGTAAGCTGTCTCTATGTGTTTCTGCCACCTGGTCTTGTCCTCTCCATCTGCATCTGGGTTCTACTTTGACTCAGTGTTTATGTATGGGGGTTTGCTCCTGTTTCCAACAGGCATTAGTTGAGGGCTCCATGGATAAGTTAGTTGTTGATCTCACTCTCTGGGAAGGGCATTTATGGTAGCCTTTCCACGGAAGGTCAAATTGTTAGTTGGCGGCAGTCTTGTAGTTCTCTAGACCTTTCATTGTGTTCAATTTTATCTTCAAACCAATCTTTTATGCTCTCTCTCTCTCTCTCTCTCTCTCTCTCTCTCTCTCTCTCTCTCTTTCCTGTCTTCTATTCCTAACCAGGCTCAATCTTCCTGGTCGCACATATTTTCCTTTCCTCCCCCTCGTTTTCTCCTACTTCTCTCTCTATTCTCTGCCCCCCACTTCCCCTGAGCTCTGGGGGACTTGTCCCTTCCCCCTTCTGTGAGGGACATTATATGAATCTCTTAGAATACACCTTATATCCTAGTTCCTCTGGTGGTGTGAATTATAGGCTAGTGATCCTTTGATCTAGGTCTAAAATCCATATATGAGTGAGTACATACTGTGTTCCTCTTTTTGTGACTGCGTTACCTCATTCAGGATGGTTTCTTCAAGTGCCATCCACTTGCCTGCGAATTTCAAGATACCATTATTTTTATCTGCAGAGTAGTATTCCATTTTGTAGATGTGCCACATCTTCATTAACCATTCTTCAATTGAAGGGCATCTAGGTTTCTTCCAGGTTCTTGCTATTACAAATAGTGCTGCTATGAACATAGTTGAACAGATGTCTTTGTTGCATGGATGTGAATCCTTTGGGTGTATGCCTAAGAGGGGGATTGCCGGGTTCTGTGGTAAACTAATTCACATTTTCCTGAGGAACCGCCATACTGATCTCCAAAATGGCTGTATGAGTTTGCATTCCCACCAGCAGTGGAAGAGTGTTCCCCTTTCTCCACATCCTCTCCAACATGAGTCATCATTGGTGTTTCGAATTTTAGCCATTCTGGCAGGAGTAAGATGGTATCTCAAAGTTGTTTTGATTTGCATTTCCCTGATAGCTAAGGATGTGGAACATTTTCTTAAGTGTCTTTCAGCCTTTTTGATTTCCTCTATTGAGAATTCTTTCTTCAGTTATGTACCCCATTTTTTAATAGGGTTATTTGGTGTTTTGTTGACTAGTTTCTTGAGTTCTTTGTATATTTTGGAGATCAGCCCTTTGTCGGATATAGGATTGGTGAAAATCTTTTCCCAGTCTGTGGGCTGCCGTTTGGTCTTGTCGACTGTGTCCTTTTCAGGCTCTGTCTTCTTGCCTTACACCTGGAAGGCAGTTTGTTAGTGAAGATGACCTAGAGTTTGGGTTGGTTTTACTAAACCAACAATAACTGGCACATCACCTTTTCAGTACATTCCTTACTACATGCCCTATGTCAATAAGAAGTCACCAGACGAAAGGGCCTCTGAATCAGTGCACTTCTCCCTTTACTTTTTCTCATTTGGAACCCCTATCTTGAGTCATCCCTGGAGTTATTTAAAGCCACAGGAGAAAGAGGCAGAGTTTTCAAACACTCTCTTCCTTTCATCCCTTACCCCTTCTCCAGCACTATCAGGAATACAAAGATATTTATTATGGTTCCTTCTATACAGTGGTTTCATTCTGTGTTTTCTTCTGTACATGAAGTTCTCAGACATCTAAACTAAGCAAATGTCATTTTATCTGCTCACCCCCTGCCCCATGACTATGACACTAGTTTTGGGAAGTAATGTGCTCTTCATTCTCTATTCCTCACAGAGATCACATCAAAAGATGTAGTTCTATACTTGCTGCACTATTTTATTTTTTCTAGCCATGTATGATAATCTTACATCATTGACATAGCATTGTGATACTGTCAGATCCAATCATATTTTTTAATATAACACTGAAATGTACAAAAATCCTATCTGTTACTGTTCCTCATTTTAACACCATGGTAACAATGTGTTCATCATTTCTGGTCATGCTTAGCAACTGGCAGTGAATTAATAACTATACATAGTTGAATTCTCTACCAATGTCAATTATAGACTCCCCTACTGATTTACTCTCAAATCAACCTGGTTTCATTTTTAACCTTAATAGTAGGAGGCAATATGCCTTGAGTTTAGTGATCATTAAAACTGCAGTAGAATGTGTATGTGTTGGCTAATATCCACCAGCCCATTTGAGATTAAAATAAGCATAAATGGTAATTGAAAAAGAATTGAAAGAGAAGCCTGCATAACTTTATCCTATAACCTTATCTTGAAATGATTGCATATATATTCTGTTGTTACCTACATACCTATTGCTGAATTTGGCACATGAAGAAGAGTGTTTTAACAATGATGCAAGAATCCTTTTCTTTTATGTAGTGTGTGTGTGTGTGTGTGTGTGTGTGTGTGTGTGTGTGTGTGATGCATTTGCCTGAGTGCCAAGTGATATGTGCCACAACTCAAGTGTAGAGATTAGAGGACATCTTTTAGGAGTTGGATCCCTTTATTCTATGGGTTCCAGGAATCCCATGCAAGTCCTAAGACTTGCATATCAAGGGTTTAACTCCTAAGCTAGCTTTCTGGCCTGATAGAAGGATTGCTATCTGCCTGCATAGGTACTTCTTAGAATAAGTTGAATTCTGCATGTGGCAAATCATCCTTTTGAGTTCTCCATGACTTTTTTTTTTTTTTTTTTTTTTTTTTTTTTTGATGACTTAAAGATTGTCAAAAATTTGCTTAACTGTCATGACTAAGATTCTAAACTCAAACTTTGCTTGTTTTCTATAGTCAAAAAGTGCTTTTATAGAGCCAGGAATTCAGGAGTTCCAGATCGTTGCTAGTCTTGATTATGTACTGCTTTCCCATTGGGAAAAAATGTTTCTTGGGGATATAACAATGATGAATTTGAGACTATGTGTGCAAAGAGTAAGGATAGTCTATTCCAAGAAGTATCATCTTCTAAACAGGTCACAAAGAGGAGTGTGGAGGCTGGTTATGGTGGCATCCCAGCACTCATGAGCCAGAGGCAGGCAGATATATGAGAATATGATGCCAACCTCATCTATATAGTGAGTTTTAGGTCATCGAAGTCAACATAGTGAGACCCTATCTCAAGAAAAAAGAAAATGTGAATTCTTTAAGGTATCTACTCTTGGTGAATAAGTGAAAAAAAAAATGCCACAAAAATGGGGTGGATGGGATTTGATACAAATATGCCTAGCTTTCATAAGACATGAGAATCCCTGGAATATAAGAGAACTTCAAGGGCAATAGAATGAAAGTGACATTATTAGATTTGCATATTTAAAATATCACTATGGCTGCAGAGTAGAGTGAATTAGAAAAGAACAAAGGGATGAAGGGACATGGGTAGCCTAGGCAACAAGAAATATAATCTTGGTGGCTGTAAAGATAGACTTGAAAGGTATCATGACAGGTAATGTCAGGTGTGAGTGCTTGGTTAGATGACAAGAGAGAGCAAACACTTTTCCATATGACTATTGGGGTTAGCATCTGGCATCTGCAGTTGTTTCCTTTACTGTTGCTGTTCTAAACA